AAACTTTTGCCCAAAAATTCGACTTTGTATTAGGAGAACATGATATGATAGGAGGTCGATCGAAAAATTTTTCCAAGAAATGACGTCAAATTCTCGGAATCTCTGAAATTCTTGGAAATGACGTTGAATTCTCGGAATCCCTACATTTCTCGGAACTGAGGTCAACTTCTGGAAATTTTTAAAGTTCTTGGAACTGACGTCAAATTCTCGGAAATTTCCAAATGTTAGAATGAACGAAACTTTTGCCCAAAAATTCGACTTTGTATTAGGAGAACATGATATGATAGGAGGTCGATCGAAAAATTTTTCCATGAAATGACGTCAAATTCTCGGAATCTCTAAAATTCTTGAAACTTGACAGCAAATTCTTAGAAATTGTCACGTAGTGGAGGAATAAATCGAAACTTTATGTCAAAAATTCTATTTTCTATTAGGAGAATATAATTTAAAAGGAGTTTTTACACATTTATCATATACTTACCGTTTTCGTACTTATTTTTTTTATTTTTGTTCTTATTGTTACCTTTTTTTTTAGAGCCTTATAGCTTTTTTTCCGTTTCCGTGCATGTAGATCTTTTCTCCTCGCATACTTATTTTCTGTGGTGCTGCCTGTCCTTTTTTGAAGCGTTTTTAATAATTTTTTAAATTTTTGAGTAATTAAAAAATATACTGATCGCATTATTTTTATTATTTATGATATCTTATGTGGTTTTATTAGGGAATGGGTTGTGGGATGATTCAATAAAAATAAACAATATACAGTGAAAAATAATAAATATTTATTAAATAAAATTGGTACAATATATGTTATACAAATTCCAATAACACTCAATTCACACACAAATTTACAATATATAAATCTTTACATATATACTTATATCTATCACTACCGCGTCAAGTCTCGATCGCATTCTTGATCTTCTCTATCCATGCCGGATGGCTTATCAATCATCCCACCGTTTCACCAACCGTTCTCCTCGTATATCCAACCAGTATACTCCAAATCTCTCTCACGTAACGCGTATCCCCATAACTCGGCCGCGTAACAAGCCCGTCCTCTATTAAACACACGCGTTCCATACTTACGTCTGTAGATCTTCCTTATACTCACTTCGAGTCTCGTGACCCTCGTAACGGCGTTGGATCTCGTCATCCTCGGGATCACGAAGTCGTCGTCCGGGG